TAGACATTACAGTGAAATGCTTACTTACAAGCCCTTAACCAACAATGCAAAGTAAAACAAATAAAAAAAGTGTTAAGCAAAGAAAGCAGTGCAAATTGTCCGGGTAGCCATGATTAGTTGTTCAGGAGTCTTATGGCTTGGGGGTAGAAGCTGTTGAGAAGCCTTTTGGACCTAGACTTGGCGCTCCGGTACCGCTTGCCATGCGGTTGCAGAGAGAACAGTCTATGACTAGGGTGGCTGGAGTCTTTGACAATTTTGAGGGCCTTCCTCTGACACCGCCTGGTATAGAGGTCCTGGATGGCAGGAAGCTTGGCCCCAGTGATGTACTGGGCCGTACGCACTACCCTCTGTAGTGCCTTGCGGTCAGAGGCCGAGCAGTTGCCATACCAGGCAGTGATGCAAGCGGTCAGGATGCTCTCGATGGTGCAGCTGTATAACTCTTTGAGGATCTGAGGACCCATGCCAAATGTTTTCAGTCTCCTGAGGGGGAATAGGCTCTGTCGTGCCCTCTTCACGACTGTCTTGGTGTGTTTGGACCATGATAGTTTGTTGGTGATGTGGACACCAAGGAACTTGAAGCTCTCAACCTGTTCCACTACAGCCCCGTCGATGAGAATGGGGGCATGCTCAGTCCTCTTTTTTTCTCTGTAGTCCACAATCATCTCCTTTTTCTTGATCACGTTGAGGGAGAGGTTGTTATCCTGGCACCACACGGCCAGGTCTCTGACCTCCTCCCTATAGGCTGTCTCATCGTTGTCGGTGATCAGGCCTACCACTGTTGTGTCGTCAGCAAACTTAATGAAGGTGTTGGAGTCGTGCCTGGCCATGCAGTCATGGGTGAACAGGGAATACAGGAGGGGACTGAGCACACACCCCTGAGGGGCCCCCGTGTTGAGGATCAGTGTGGCAGATGTGTTGTTGCCTACCCTTACCACCTGGGGTGGCCCATCAGGAAGTCCAGGATCCAGTTGCAGAGGGAGGTGTTTAGTCCCAGGATCCTTAGCTTAGTGATGAGCTTTGAGGGCACTATGGTGTTGAATGCTAAGCTGTAGTCAATGAATAGCATTCTCACGTAGGTGTTTCTCTTGTCCAGGTGGGAAAGGGCAGTGTGGAGTGCAATAGAGTTTGCATCATCTGTGGATCTGTTGGGGCAGTATGCAAATTGGAGTGGGTCTAGGGTTTCTGGGATAATGGTGTTGATGTGAGCCATGACCAGCCTTTCAAAGCACTTCATGGCTAAAGACGTGAGTGCTACGGGTCGGTAGTCATTTAGGCAGGTTATCTTAGTGTCCTTGGGCACAGGGACTATGGTGGTCTGCTTGAAACATGTTGGTATTACAGACTCAGTCAGGGACATGTTGAAAATGTCAGTGAAGATACTTGCCAGTTGGTCAGCACATGCTCGGAGTACACGGCCTGGTAATCCTGGGATAGGATACCTGGGATAGGATAAAGTAATCCTTCTACCCCCCCCCAAAAAAAAAAAAAACATATTGTAAAGTGGTTATCCCACTGGCTATAAGGTGAATGCACCAATTTGTATGTCGCTCTGGATAAGAGCATCTGCTAAATTAATTAAATGTAAATGTAATCCGTCGGGCCCTGCAGCCTTGTGAATGTTGACCTGCTTAAAAGTCTTACTCACATCGGCTACGGAGAGCGTGATCACATAGTCATCCGGAACAGCTGGTGCTCTCATGCATGCTTCAGTGTTGCTTGCCTCGAAGCGAGCATATAAGTGATTCAGCTCGTCTGGTAGGCTTGTGTCACTGGGCAGCTCGCAGCTGTGCTTCCTTTTGTAGTCTGTAATAGTTTTCAAGCCCTACCACATCCGACGAGCGTCAGAGCCGGTGTAGTACGATTCAATCTTAGTCCTGTATTGACTCTTTGCCTGTTTGATGGTTCGTCGGAGGGCATAGCAGGATTTCTTATAAGCGTCCGGGTTAGAGTCCAGCTCCTTGAAAGCGGCAGCTCTAGTCTTTAGCTCAGTGTGGATGTTGCCTGTAATCCATGGCTTCTGGTTGGGGTATGTACGTACGGTCACTGTGGGGACGAGTCACCATGAGGACAAGTTACCACTGTCCTCATGGCGAAATCTCTGAGTGGTTTCCTTCCTCTCTGGAAACTGAGTTAGGAAGGATGCCTGTATCTTTGTAGTGACTGGGTGTATTGATACACCATCCAAAGTGTAATGAATAACTCCACTGTGCTGAAAGGGATAGATAACCAATAGGTACCCTTCTTTGCGAGGCATTGGAAAACCTCCCTGGTCTTTGTGGTTGAATCTGTGTATGAAATTCACTGCTTGACTGAGGGACCTTGCAGATAATTGTGTGGGGTACAGAGATGAGGTAGTCATTAAAAAATAATGTTAAACGCTATTATTGCACACAGTGTGAGTCCATGCAACTTATTATGGGACTTGTTAAGCACATTTTTACTCCTGAAATTATTTAGGCTTGCCATAAGAAAGGACTTTAATACTTATTGACTCAAGACATTTCAGCTTTCATTTTTAAAATGTGTTTTATTTTATTTTTCAAAAAACAATTCACTTTGACATTATGGGGTATTGTGGAAAAGGCAAGGGATGTGAATACTTTCTGAAGATAAGTTCTCTAATGTTACATTATCTAGTGTTGTAGGGCATTCTGGCCAGAACTTCTATGTTGAAGTATGTAGCCTTCTGTCTGTCTGTCTGTCTGTCTGTCTGTCTGTCTGTCTGTCTGTCTGTCTGTCTGTCTGTCTGTCTGTCTGTCTGTCTGTCTGTCTGTCTGTCTGTCTGTCTGTCTGTCTGTGTCTAAGGTTGTAGCTGGCAGCGGTCACTTGATCCCTGCAGAAGGTGAGTGAATCAGACCACATACCTTGATCCCTGCAGAAGGTGAGTGAATCAGACCACATACCTTGATCCCTGCAGAAGGTGAGTGAATCAGACCACATACCTTGATCCCTGCAGAAGGTGAGTGAATCAGACCACATACCTTGATCCCTGCAGAAGGTGAGTGAATCAGACCACATACTAACATACTAGAGAGAGGCAGCAGTTAACACTGACTGCAGTCAAAGTACTAAAGAGGAAACCTATAGTTGCCTACAGAAATAACAGATGCATCTGTTTTCCTCCACTGTGATGTATATTATCTACCAAGTCTCAAACATCAGATATCATTTTGGTAAAATCACTTTAATATTATTCACAATGAAATAAGACATAGTTTTGTTATAAAACACAAGTCACATAAATTAATAAATATGGACAATGTAAGCATTTACACAAGTAATTCAGTATATAAAATGAAAGAGAAATAAAAAATAAATAAAGTGAGTTTTTTTTTCTCTTTTGTGAAAGCAATAGATAGCGTTATACTCTGTGCCTCTATATGCATTAGTGCTGCATTCATTGAGATTTGAGAAGCAGGCCACGCGCTCATCTAGTCACATGACGTCTCCTGGTTCCCATGGTAACCACGGTCAGGGCTACTGGCTGTTGTCTGTACAATATGGGGTCAAGCACAAAAGGTGGCATTAGCAAATTGGCACTGTAGCGCCATCAGTGTCTCTCAACCTTATTTGCGCCAGGGGACAGCCAGGCAAGCTATGGCAATAGTTATCCTTCTTGGAAAAGCGGCTTAGATTAAAACTTAACACTTAAGATCTCATTTAGGCCTAGTAGCTGTCAGGAGCAAACAAGATATGAGGGACTGTCCTCGGATCGAGATGGAGGGTTGAGAAACACTGCTGTAGAGAAGAGCAGCCTCACTAGCAGTAAGAAAGGCCTAGAGAGCTAATCATATGGATATGCCTTCACACTGATTTTCCTTCTTGGTTTATAAAGCCATTGGTGGTGTAGCCTAATGTTGAATCACCAGCAGACAGGAGCACTGCATGGTCTTCAATGTCTAAACCTGACACATCCCCTTATATGTAGTGCACTAGTTCTGACCAGTAGTCGTGATAGGGAATAGGGTGCCGTTTTAGATGCACCCTTGGAGGAGTGTGGAGACTGAGAAATCTGTCAGTGGAGAAGTCCTCCCTGGGGCCAATGTGACACCTCTGCCTAACAGCTGAGATCTCTGTTTTGATTTAGAACGCCACAGATGCTAGAAGCATGCGTCCCCACATCAAGACCATGTCTGAGGCGTGTGAGAGAAGAAACCAACCAACGTCTGTCTGTTATGATGGTTTCCGATCCCAGCTGTGGTGTCCAATTATAACTGACGTGAAGGAGTGACATGACAGGTAGCCGGGTAGGCTAGGCTATGTTAGGAGCCTGCTAGGCTAGGCTAGGTTAGGAGCCTGCTAGGCTAGGCTAGGTTAGGAGCCTGCTAGGCTAGGCTAGGCTAGGTTAGGAGCCTGCTAGGCTAGGTTAGGAGCCTGCTAGGCTAGGCTATGTTAGGAGCCTGCTAGGCTAGGCTAGGCTAGGTTAGGAGCCTGCTAGGCTAGGTTAGGAGCCTGCTAGGCTAGGCTAGGTTAGGAGCCTGCTAGGCTATGCTAGGCTAGGTTAGGAGCCTGCTAGGCTAGGCTAGGTTAGGAGCCTGCTAGGCTAGGCTAGGTTAGGAGCCTGCTAGGCTAGGCTAGGTTAGGAGCCTGCTAGGCTAGGTTAGGAGCCTATGTTAGGAGCCTGCTAGGCTAGGCTAGGCTAGGTTAGGAGCCTGCTAGGCTAGGTTAGGAGCCTGCTAGGCTAGGTTAGGCTAGGGCTCCCGAGTGGCGCAGCGGTCTAAGGCACTGCATCTCAGTGCTTGAGGCGTCACTACAGACCCCCTGGTTCGATTCCAGGCTGTATCACAACTGGCCGTGATTCTGAGTCCCATAGGGCAGCGCACAATTGGCACAGCGTCATCTGCCGTCATTGTAAATAAGAATTTGTTCTTAACTGACTTGCCTAGTTAAATAAAGGTTAAATAAATACAAAATAAAAGGCTAGGAGCCCGCTAGGCTAAGCTAGGTTAGGAGCCCGCTAGGCTAGGCTAGGTTAGGAGCCCGCTAGGCTAGGCTAGGTTAGGAGCCCGCTAGGCTAGGCTAGGCTAGGAGCCCGCTAGGCTAGGAGTACAAGGAGTTTTGGGGATGTTGTGGGTCACAGGTCATCAGAGAGATCATATACAGTTTGTGGACCAGCTCAAATGTGACACCGGACTGGAGGATTGGAGGACATTGCATCTGTAATGGAGGACAGAGAAGCAGCTGTAGAGGTCAAACCCACTGTTCGACTCCAGACGACCAGATGATGTGGATAAGATGTTGCGGGTCACTCAGGGGGGGTTGGGCCTGTTGGAGACACAGACCAGAGGCAGGGAGCCGTGGTCAAACAGTTTGTATGGCAGCGTCCCCTTGGAGGTCCACACGTCCGTCTTGGGGTCGTAACACTCGAAGCAGTCCGAGTCCTCGATGGCGTCGTGCCCGTTCAGGAAGCGCCCCCCCGTCACGTACAGCTTGTTGTTGATGACCGTGGCGCTGTGGTGCATCCGCCTCTCCTTCAGGTTCTCACACTTTACAAACTTGTTGGCTTTGGTGTCGTAGGCGATCATCCGTCTAGTGTACCCTAGAAATGACAACATTTCCAATACAGTGACTCTTAAGACAGATTCACTGCCTGCGTCCAAAATAGCAGCCTATTCCCTATATAGTGCACTACTTTTGAGCAGAGCCCCTAGGGAATAGGGTTCCACAGCCTACCCACAGATTGTTCAGAATCACAACATCAAAGTAATTAAAGTTGAAAGGAGATGACTCCATTTAAGAAGAAAAAGAGAGACATGCTAATCAACTCATGTGGACCGCAACAGCTGTGGATATTACACATGATAGACCAGGTAAACAAAGGTAAACATGTTGAAAGCGGCAGCCTGTTCACCTCCAATGATGTAGATCTTGTCCTCGATGACAGCAGCAGGTGCACAGACGTTCTTCACCGTCCGGGTCTCCAGTCTGGACCACAGGTTCCTGGAGATGTGGTACACCTGAGAGACGGAGACACCAGAGAGATCAGTCAGTCAGTCAATGTCAGGCCGCCAGGAAACGTGTGGTGAGGTGATACTTAGTTTAATAAGGGCAAAGTGCAGTTTTTTTTAACCAATTTGCCTCATGATTTGTCTCGTGCACAATTTCTCTGTCCTTCACATCGGAGTGCTGCTGCAGGCTCTTTGCGTGTCTTGACCAATCAGATTCACGGAAATTGCAGGTCGGGATCCTTAAATTAGATGACCTAATATTATGTTTATCCTACCAACGGGACATTAAAAACTGTAATATCTTATGTTTCACCGAGTCGTGGCTGAACGACGACATGGATAACATACAGCTGGCAGGATATACGCTACATCGGCAGGATAGAACGGCTGACTCCGGTAAGACAAGGGGTGGCGGTCTGTGTATATTTGTAAACGACAGCTGGTGCACGAAATCTAATACTAAGGAAGTCTCGAGGTTTTGCTCGCCTGAGGTAGAGTATCTCATGATAAGCTGTAGACCACACTATTTACCAAGAGAGTTTTCATCTATATTTGTCGTAGCTGTCTATCTAACACCACAATCCGATGCTGGCATTAAGATTGCACTGAATGAGCTGTATAAGGCCATAAGTAAACAGGAAAACGCTCATCCAGAGACAGCGCTCCTAGTGGCCGGGGACTTTAATGCAGGGAAACTTAAATCCGTTCTACCTAATTTCAACCAGCATGTTGAAATTAGCACCTTTACTCCACACACAGAGACGCATACAAAGCTCTCCCTCGCCCTCCATTTGGCAAATCTGACCATAACTCTATCCTCCTGATTGCTGCTTATAAGCAAAAACTAAAGCAAGAAGCACCGGTTAATAAAAAAGTGGTCAGATGAAGCAGATGCTAAGCTACAGGACTGTTTTGCTAGCACAGACTGGAACATGTTCCGGGATTCTTCCGATAGCATTGAGGAGTACACCACATCAGTCACTGGCTTCATCAATAAGTGCATCGATGACGTCGTCCCCACAGTGACCGTACGAACATACCCCAACCAGAAGCCATGGATTACAGGCAACATCCGTACTGAGCTAAAGGGTAGAGCTGCCGCTTTCAAGGAGTGGGACTCTAACCCGGACGCTTATAAGAAATCCCGCTATGCCCTCCGACGAACCATCAAACAGGCAAAGAGTCAATACAGGACTAAGATTGAATTGTACTACACTGGCTCTGACGCTCGTCGGATGTGGCAGGGCTTGAAAACTATTACAGACTACAAAGGGAAGCACAGCCGCGAGCTGCCCAGTGACACAAGCCTACCAGACGAGCTAAACCACTTCTATGCTCGCTTCGAGGCAAGCAACACTGAAGCATGCATGAGAGCACCAGCTGTTCCGGATGACTATGTGATCACGCTCTCCGTAGCCGATGTGAGTAAGACTTTTAAGCAGGTCAACATTCACAAGGCCGGAATACCAGGACGTGTACTCCGAGCATGTGCTGGCCAACTGGCAAGTGTCTTCACTGACATTTTCAACATGTCCTGACTGAGTCTGTAATACCAACACGTTTCAAGCAGACCACCATAGTCCCTGTGCCCAAGGACACTAAGATAACCTGCCTAAATGACTACTATACACCTGTTCTGAAAGGCCCCAGAGTCTGCAACACCACTAAGCAAGGGGCACCACCAAGCAAGCGGCACCATGAAGACCAAGGAGCTCTCCAAACAGGTCAGGGACAAAGTGGGAGAAGTACAAATCAGGGTTGGGTTATAAAAAAATATCAGAAACTTTGAACATCCCACGGAGCACCATTAAATCCATTATTAAAAAATTTAAAGAATATGGCACCACAACAAACCTGCCAAGAGAGGGCCGCCCACCAAAACTCATGGACCAGGCAAGGAGGGCATTAATCAGAGAGGCAACAAAGAGACCAAAGATAACACTGAAGGAGCTGCAAAGCTCCACAGCGGAGATTGGAGTATCTGTCCATGGGACCACTTTAAGCCGAACACTCCACAGAGCTGGGCTTTATGGAAGAGTGGCCAGAAAAAAGCCATTGCTTAAAGAAAAAAATAAGCAAACACGTTTGGTGTTCGCCAAAAGCCATGTGGGAGACTCCCCAAACATATGGAAGAAGGTACTCTGGTCAGATGAGACTAAAATTGAGCTTTTTGGCCATCAAGGACAATGCTATGTCTGGTGCAAACCCAACACCTCTCATCACCCCAAGAACACCATCCCCACAGTGAAGCATGGTGGTGGCATCATCATGCTGTGGGGATGTTTTTCATCGGCGGGGACTGGGAAACTGGTCAGAATTGAAGGAATGATGGATGGCGCTAAATACAGGGAAATCCTTGAGGGAAACCTGTTTCAGTCTTCCAGAGATTTGAGACTGGGATGGAGGTTCACCTCAAGTTTTCTGTTTTTTTGTCTTATTTCTTGTATCTTCAAAGTAGTAGGCATGTTGTGTAAATCAAATGATACAAACCCCCCCAAAAAATCCATTTTAATTCTAGGGTGAATACTTTCGCAAGCCACTGTATGTATTAATTTGTGGATGTCCATCATCCATTTCGTACGATATGTTACGAATTACAATTCGTACAATATATTACGAATTGGCAAATCATATGATATGTAGCAAATCCAATTTGTTGTGGCCAACATTAGCTAGGTGACTAAGTGGCTGACGCTAACGTTAGCTAGTTGGCTAACGTTAGCTAGGGGTTAAGGGTTAGCTAGGGGTTAAGGGTTAGCTAGGGGTTAAGGGTTAGCTAACATGCTAAGTAGTTGCAAAGTAGCTAAAAAGTAGTAAGTAGCTGCAAAGCTGTTAATTAGTAAACGTTGTCCGTGATGAGATTCGAACACGCAACCTTTGGGTTAGGGTTATATGCCCACCCATTTACCCCAACCTTTGGGTTAGGGTTATATGCCCACCCATTTACCCCGACCTTTGGGTTAGGGTTACATGCCCACCCATTTACCCCGACCAACCACCCTTATTTTTTGCCTTATTATGTAACCTTCTGTCTCGTGTAACCATACCAAACGTAACATATCATACACATTTTACTGTCCAGGATTTACATGTATTATGTTACGTCGAGTCCATGAGACAAGCTTTAGTGTAGCCTACTACGTGCCCTGTCCCTCTGGCCAGTGTAATAATATAATATAATATGCCATTTAGCAGACGCTTTTATCCAAAGCGACTGACAGTCATGCGTGCATACATTTTTGTGTATGGGTGGTCCCGGGGATCGAACCCACTACCCTGGCGTTACAAGTGCCTTGCTCTACCAGCTGAGCTACAGCTGTAAATGAAGTGGTAACGTTGAGAAAATGTGAAAGGGATCAAATTTAGTTAATATTCAAACTTGGGCTGACTAGGCTACCTAGACTTTTTCAATCCAAAATTATTAACTGGAATTAATCAATAAACACATTAGCTCACATTAGCTTACATAGCTTACATAGCATACATACACATTAGCTTACATAGCATACATACACATTAGCTTACATAGCATACATAGCATACATAGCATACATAGCATACATAGCATACATACACATTAGCTTACATAGCATACATAGCATACATGGCATACATGGCATACATAGCATACATAGCATACATAGCATACATACACATTAGCTTACATAGCATACATAGCATACATGGCATACATGGCATACATAGCATACATAGCATACATAGCTTACATAGCATACATACACATTAGCTTACATAGCATACATAGCATACATACACATTAGCTTACATAGCATACATAGCATACATGGCATACATAGCATACATAGCATACATGGCATACATGGCATACATGGCATACATGGCATACATAGCATACATAGCATACATACACATTAGCTTAATAGACTGTTAGTTTATGTTTATTAGGCAGCTGCAGGCCATGATTGGGAGTCCCGTAGGGCGGCGCCCAGCGTCGTTTGGGTTTGGGTTTGGCCGTCATTGTGAATAAGAATTTGTTCTTGACTGACTTGCTTAGTTAAATAACACAAAAAAATACACACTAGAGGACAGGAATTACCTCCTCCCTGCTTTGATACAACTGTTGCGTTGATTGATTGGTTACCTGTATCTCCCTGACAGGGTTCTGCATGGCGTCCTCCCCTCCGAACACGTAGACCCTCTGGTCGTTGGCGGCGACGGCGGGGTGCAGCACGGCGGTGGGGAGAGGAGCCATGGCCTCCCATTGGTTAAACATACTGTTGTACCTCTCCACAGAGTTGGAGATCTGTTTGTCTACTCCGATCCCCCCCAGGACAAAGATAAAGTGGAGGTAGGAGACACTCTGGTGGGCGTAGCGCGGCTCCAGCATGGGCTCAGCCGTCCTCCACTGGTCGATTTCAATAAAGGCAACATTACATGGTGTCAATAGCAGCTAAGGCTGAAATTTAAAATGTTCATAAATACACAATACAAAATAATTATCGATCAGCACAATAAAATCTAACTTAAAAATGCATATTTTTCTGGACAAACTGTCAGTAGCCTTACGTACCTGGTTGGTCTTGAGGGAGAGGGTGTAGACGGTGGCAGATACAGAGCTGTCTCCCGAGGCCATGCTGAGGCTGAGCCCCCCCACCACGTACAGGATGCTGTGGATGCAGACGTAGGAGGCCTTGTAGAGCCTCAGGGGCAGCTTGGCCAGCCACTGCCAGCGCTGAGTCCTCTCGTCATAGAGCAGGGCTTCCCGGGACGTCTGCTCGTTGTTCTTGCGCCCGCCGACCACCACGAGCGTCTCTCGGCAGGTGTAACGGCGTGGTGTGGTCCAGAGGGGCTTCAGCTCACGGCCGCACTTGGCACTGACTGAGAGCATGAGGCGACGGACGGACTCGATGATCTCGGTGCAGAGCGTGGAGGACTGGACGAGCGGGTCATTGGCGATGAACTGGAACAGGTAGGTGGGGTGGATGTAGCGCAGACGCACCTTCTTGAAGAGGTCGTGGATGGCGCCGCGCCGGGAGAACGGGTCGTGGTGGATCCATGCCAGGAGAGTCTCAAACACCTGGGAAATGTGACTTTTAGTTTTTAACATGGGGGATTAGTACTATTTTACCTTATTTGATCTAATCTTATCCTTTATTTATTTTTTTCATATCTCACCTCACCTCACCTCTTCTCACCTCACCTCACCTCTTCTCACCTCACCTCACCTCACCTCACCTCACCTCACCTCACCTCAACTCATCTCATCTCATCTCATCTCATCTCATATCACCTGCTCCTCCTCGGCACACAGTCGGTCATCCTCCAGGTAACACATGAGCTCAGGTAAGGAGAGCTCACAGAAGTCCTCGGAGGCAGCTACATCTGAGAAGCTCCGCACGGCCATCTCCTTGGCCTTCTCCTTCAGACTGTCACAGTGGAGGATCTCTGACAGTCGGATCATACTGAGACAGTTGTCTGGGCTCAGCTGCTCCTGAAATATATGATCATTTAACATAGGCCGTGTGTGAGTGCACATTTATTATCATTTCTTACTTCATTTAACCTTTATTTAAGCAGGGAAGTCCCATTGAGACCAAAGTCTCTTTTGCAAGGGAGGCCTGATTCACAAACACAATACATCGTACACAATCAGGAGTTAGTGGCACAGTCACATCCATCAATACTGCAGTGTCAACATAAGTCCCAGAGTTAGCAACAAAGCTGATTTCCATCCGTAGTCACCTGCAGGAAGGTGGAGCAGGCCTCAAACAGCCGTCCATAGTACAGCATGGAGGCAGCCTGCATTAGAGGAAGCACTATGTCCATGCTGATGGTGATGGCTCCTGTATACACATAGTCCACTATGCCACAGAGCACGTCAGGGGAGATACCCTTCAGATTCACCCGACCCTGGCTGCTCTCCACAAAGTTACTGCAGAACATGGCCCTGAGGAATATACATGACAGGTTACTGCAGAACATGGCCCTGAGGAATATACATGATAATTGGTGTAAATGGCACCGGAGGAGATGGCTGCCGTTTTACGTCCCTCTAACCAATTGTGCTATTATGTGTGTTTTTGTAATTTATTCTGTCAATAGTGTTTCTGCCACCGTCTCTTATGACCAAAAAGAGCTTCTGGATATCAGGACAGCGATTACTCCCCTCGTATTGGACGAAGATTTTTTCTTCAACGAGTCGGACGCAAAGGATATTCCATAGACCCCCGACAAGGCCCAAATCCCCGTCATTCGCATGAGAAAGAGACAGAGATATCGTGGATGTAGGTCGGGGTGCCTTGTAAGGAGCGAGTAATCTGCCTCTTCCATCAATCGTATTAGCCAACGTACAATCATTTGAAAACAAAATGGACGACCTAAGATCAAGGATATCCTACCAACGGGAAATGGCTGAACGACGACATGGGTAACATACAGCTGGCAGGATATACGCTAAATCGGCAGGACAGAACGGCTGACTCCGGTAAGACAAGGGGTGGCGGTCTGTGTATATTTGTAAACAACCGCTGGTGCATAAAATCTAATACTAAGGAAGTCTCAAGGTTTTGCTCGCCTGAGGTAGAGTATCTCATGATAAGCTGTAGACCACACTATTTACAAAAATAGTTTTCTATATTTTTCGTAGCTGTCTATTTACCACCACAATCCGATGCTGGCACTAAGATTGCACTCAATGAGCTGTATAAGGCCATAACTGAACAGGAAAACACTCATCCAGAGGCAGCGCTCCTAGTGGCCGGGGACTTCAATGCAGGGAAACTTAAATCCGTTCTACCTAATTTCTACCAGCATGTTAAATGTGCCACCAGAGGAAAAAAAACTCTAGACCACCTTTACTCCACACACAGAGACGCATACAAAGCTCTCCCTCGCCCTCCATTTGGCAAATCTGACCATAACTATTTTTAGTCTCCTGAGTGGCGCAGTGGTCTAAGGCACTGCATCGCAGTGCTAGCTGTGCCACTAGAGATCCTGGTTCAAATCCAGGCTCTGTCGTAGCCGGCCGTGACCGGGAGACCCATGGGGCGGCACGCAATTGGCCCAGCGTCGTCCAGGGTAGGGGAGGGAATGGCCGGTAGGGATGTAGCTCAGTTGATAGAGCATGGTGTTTGCAACGCCAGGGTTGTGGGTTCGATTCCCACAGGGGGTATGAAAAAAATAAAAATAATGTAAGTCGCTCTGGATAAGAGCGTCTGCTAAATGACGTAAATGTAAATGTATCCTCCTGCTTATAAGCAAAAACTAAAGCAGGAAGCACCAGTGACTCGGTTAATAAGGAAGTGGTCAGATGTAAATAAGAATTTGTTCTTAATTGACTTGCCTAGTTAAATAAAGGTGAAATAAAAAAAAATAAAAAAAATATGCCATGTCTTGAAATATGCAGACAGACGGATTAAAAGTAAATTTACATTGTAATACTTCTGACAGACAACTTTCTAATTCCGCCCATAACTTTTGGACTTTATAACATTTCCAGAAGGCATGGATTATTGTTTGTTTTACACTTAAGACATGACGCTGCCGTTGTGCTGTAGAATTTGTGAATTTTGTCTCTTGTCTAATAAATTCTATACATTAGTTTATACTGGATTAAGCGTACATTTTAGTTATCTGTAATTTCGTTAGTTATGTTCCAACACTCCCTTCATCTTGTGCCAACATCAGTTATTTTAAAGGTTTTGTACTATCATATGAATATTATTTTCTGATTCAAATAGGATTCCCTCAACATTGCTCTGATGTACAAAATATTTCAAATCGAAATTTCGTGATATGAAACTTTTAAGTTGCATGTTTTTTGAAAATATCTACATTGGTCAGTCCAAAATTGCTGTTTGATTCTGTCATGTAAATGAATGTATTTCCTGTTACCAAGTCATTTCCGGTTTCTATGCCTTTAATTTTCCACGCAGACCAGTTTATTAGTGCATTCTGAAAAGCTATCCAAGGATTGTTACATAGGTTGTGTTTTTTGGGAGTGATATTGATTCTTGTAGAATCCGTTAAAATTTCTTTCATTTTGTTCTAGTGTTCTTAACTATGAAGTTGTTAATGTTCTTAGCTTTATCCTTTGAAAATAGACACATTAAAATATTCTGGGGGTGAGCATGTGCATCTTCAGTATGTATAAATTTTTCCTCTTTAGTGCATTTAAATATATGTCTCAAGTAAAAGCCTTGGGTGGCAAGTTGATGCAATTCCAAGTCAGAGGTTAAAACCACCCTTTTTATTCTGAGTTTTATTTGATAAAGATAATGTCTATTGTATGAGTAAACTTTTTTAAAGAATGTCTTCGGTAGGGTAATTGGTATTACCGAGAATAAATATAAAAACTTTGGGAGCCTGAAGATTGTTCCATTTAATTAGATCTGCTTTCATATTGTTGAGTAATGGGATAAAGTTACCTTTATATATCTGTTGTTTGTTGACACTTATTAAGCATCTTAAGTATTTGTTGTGGTCCACTTAAAGGATTACTGTAGATCAGAGTTATTCTTTTTATTTTTCCTATTGCCGTTATTTCCGTTTTTTTCCACGTAATTTATTAAATTCATTTTATATCTTGAGATTTTAAAAGTATTCTGAAAATACAGTATTTTTAGCAAGGGGGACATTGAGTTTTCAATATTATAGTCAGGTATATCAGGAGATCATCTCCAAATAAGTTTAGTTTATATTCATGTTCACCAATTCTGATACCTGTTACGTTTGGGTCCTGTCTAATTCTTTCTGCAAGCGGTTCAATTGCCAGTGCAAACAGGAAGGGGGAGAGAGGACATCCCTGTCTTGTCCCCCTTTCTAAAGCAATTTCATCAGATAATGTATTATTTGTGTATATTTTTGCTTAATGACATTTATATAATATTTTTATAAAATGTATTATTTCAGATGGAAAGTTGAAGGCCTCCAAAGTTTTGAATAGAAAAGTCCATTCAAGACGGTCGAAAGGCTTTTCGGCATCTACAGCTATTATTGATAAATCTATATCTTGTTTTTTAGCGTATTGTATTATATTGAATCATGTTCTTGCATTTGTTTGTAAATGTCTATTTTTATATAGAGTGGCGACCCGTCATTTTGAGGCCCACCTGTTTAGCTGAAAAAATTATTTGGGCATTAATACGTGTCACCTACCAGTTTGCAAACAATGTAAAAAAAATTACAAATAACATTGAGTTAATAAAGCCGCATACAAATATGGTCTCTTTTTTGTTTTCTTGAGTAAGGCAGCTCCTAAATGCAGGTGTTTCAGCCTAGCTCAGTGCTTTCTGTGGAGGTGGGGCAGCCAGCGGAAAATACGGAGCGTAGGGGTTGGTAATGTTCTCTAGTTGCGCCGTGATTGGCTCAGTGTTCTGTCACTCATGGGGACACTACGTCACTGCAGAATCTACGGGTAAAGCTAGAAAATTCAAGCCCCTTGGGTGTTGCCATAGAGTTACATTAGAAGTGCCCATCCAAGAAGGCTCAAGGTCATTGGCCACATATAAAATGACATCAAATCACGTTATATCTACCGTAGCTTTGATTGGACTGATTATGTAAACATCAATACTTTCAAAATCTTAGCTAACAAGCTAGCAGTCATCATCATGAATCAAGTCGCCAATCTACTGGAAAATCATTTTCAATCCTTGTCATATGAAGAAATTATGAAGAGAAATTATAGATAAAACATATCGGTGCTCATCGGCCATTGGACATAAACATTACACAACAAGTTGGAAATCGCAAATTCAACAATGAGTGTTTTGGAAGGAATCGGTGGCTAACTGCAAGTATTGCAAAGCGATCACTAGCCTGCTATTCAGTGGAGAGGGTGTGGGGTCCAAGTCTGGGTTTAAGGGCCTCTTTTCCAAGCTTAAAAGGATATACATTCAACATTATGGGCCAGAAACAGTTTAATACATTGGCCATGCTGTCAATCCAGCATGACTTCTGCCGCATTCAAAACAACTGGAAACTCGGAACTGGGAAATCTCAGACTTCAGTGAGTTCAAGACAACTGGGAACTTTGAAAAAAACGAGCCCCGACTGGGAAAATACGTTTTGAACGGTCATCCAACTCGGAACTCCAAGTCGGAAACTCGGGCCTCTTTCTAGAGCTCCGACCTGAAGATCACTGATGTCATGATTCGACCTTGTTTTTTTCAGAGTTCCCAGTTGTCTTGAAAGCACCATAAATCCAGAGAATGCCAGACTTTGATGACAAAATGTGTCCACAAGGACCGCCACGCCACCTTCCTGTTCAAGTGAGCACAGCACAACAAGGTGAGTCCAAAAATGTATTGTATGCTGCTGCATAAATGATGTAATATGCCAGGGAGATATGTATACTGTAGCTAAGAAAGTAATACTAAGTGTATGTTGTGTAGTAAGCTGTTAGTAGCCCATGTGCCTCACCCTAATAATTTGGTCCCTTTTCCCCTCTTAATTTAGCCTACTGTTCTGACTTGGTGGTGCACATGTAGCCTATAGCCTGTTTTAGAGAAATGTAATCATCGAATATTGTAAGAGCTTTCATTGTCTGCTTATATGCCCCCTTTATTTATCCTACGGTTCTGACTTGGTGTACAGGGAGAACACTGTAAGAACGGCCCATGTTCTGAATTATGTCACTGTACATTTCAAAGGGGCTAAACAAATAGTTATATTGACTACGTCCGTCCTAGCTCGCTCATTAATGTCTTAAATCGAAATTACGGATTGCCTCTTGTCCGCTCGTCGTCCCCTTATGCCATAGTTTGTACATCTTAATTGTCAGTAGAAACCACATTTGTTTAAGCAAGTCGGCCATATCAGCTATGTTTTTTTAAAAGCCAGTAAATGAGGCTGAATGACCAGTTTCGCTGCCAGACGAGGCTCCTCTGATAGCCAGGTGGAGCAGTGGTAAGGTGTTGGGACTGCTGCCTCTGATAGCCAGGTGGAGCAGTGGTAAGGATTCACTCCATGGTGCTGAAAAGAAAGCTCTGCTGTTGGGACAGATTTATGGAGGCCCTAACAGTTTGGGAGCACCGTTTGTCACCGTTATAGTTAAATTAATGTATTGTTTAGTGTTGTGTTGTGTAGTGGGTTTGCTGGCATGTATCCAAACTGTTTTGTTTTTGTTTGCCCCACCAAGATTTATATGCTAAAATCGCCACTATTTATATAGGTTTTTATAGAAGCTTTTAAAATGGTCATTAATAGTGTTGTTGTTTCTAATTAAAACCATTTGTATCCTTGTCTTTTTAAATTATAACTGGTTTGGTTTTGTGAGAGCTTCGAGATGTTTACCAGGTTTATTTGCCATTTAATAGTATGCTTTATTTGAGTTTAACCTGTAGTTAGTTGTTGGCTCTCTTCAAAATGTATGCACACATGACTGTAAGACGCTTTGGATAAAAGCGTCTGCTAAATGGCATATTATTATTATTATTATTATTATTATTATTATTATTATATGTACGGGCCCTGCAGCCCCCAGTATCACTTCTACTCCCCAGGAGTTATCATTTGTTGACTTCTGTAACCGTAAAAGCCTTGGTTTTCTGCACGTTAACATCAGAAGCCTCCTTCTTAAGTTTGAGTTATTCACTGCGTTAGCACACTCCGCCAACCCTGATGTTCTAGCAGTGTCTGAATCCTGGCTTAGGAAGGCCACCAAAAATTCAGAAATGTCCATCCCCAACTACAACATTTTCCATCTAGATAGAACTGCCAAAGGGGGTGGAGTTAAAATCTACTGTAGAGATAGCCTGCAGAGCTCTATCATACTATCCAGGTCTGTGCCCAAACAGTTTGAGCTCCTACTTCTAAAAATCCACCTTTCCAGAAATAAGTCTCTCACTGTTGCCGCTTGCTACAGACCCCCCTCAGCCCCCAGCTGTGCCCTGGACACCATATGTGAACATGATTGCCCCCCATCTATCCTCAGAGTTCGTACTGCTTGGTGACCTAAACTGGGATATGCTTAACATCCCGGCCATCCTACAATCCAAACTAGATGCCCTCAATCTCACACAAATTATCAAGGAACCTACCAGGTACAACCCTAAATCCGTAAACATGGGCACCCTCATAGATATCATCCTGACTAACTTACCCTCTAAATACACCTCCGCTGTCTTCAACCAGGATCTCAGCGATCACTGCCTCATTGTCCGCGGTCAAACGACCACCCCTCATCACTGTCAAATGCTCCCTAAAACACTTTAGCGAGCAGGCCTTCCTAATTGACCTGGCCCAGGTATCCTGGATGGATATCGATCTCATTCCGTTAGTAGAGGATGCCTGGTTGTTCTTTAAAAGTGCTTTCCTCTCAATCTTAAATAAGCTTCAGAACTAAGAACAGATATAGCCCCTGGTTCTCTTCAGACTTGACTGCCCTTGACCAGCACAAAAACATCCTGTGGCGTACTGCATTAGCATCGAATAGCCCCCGCGATATGCAACTTTTCAGGAAAGTTAGGAACCAATATACACAAGCAGTTAGGAAAGCAAAGGCTAACTTTTTCAAACAGAAATTTGCATCCTGTAGCACTATCTCCAAAAAGTTTTGGGACACTGTAAAGTCCATGGAGAATAAGAGCACTTCCTCCCAGCTGCCCACTGCACTGAGGCTAGGAAACACTGTCACCACCAATAATAAATCTACAATAATCGAGAATTTCAACAAGCATTTTGCTACAGCTGGCCATGCTTTCCACCTGGTTACCCCTACCCCGGCCACCAGCTATGCACCCTCCGCTGCAACTTGCCCATGCAACTACTTCTCAGATAGAGTTCGATGTGTCAAATCGGAGGGCCTGTTGTCTGGACCTATGGCAGTCTCTATGGGGGTGCCACAGGGTTCAATTCTTGGGCCGACTCTTTTCTCTGTGTATATCAATGATGTCGCTCTTGCTGCTGGTGACTCTCAGATCCACCTCTACGCAGACGACACCATTTTGTAAACATCTGGCCCTTCATTGGACACTGTGTTAACAAACCTCCAAACAAGCTTCAATGCCATACAACACTCCTTCCGTAGCCTTCAACTGCTCTTAAACGCTAGTAAAACTAAATGCATGCTCTTCAAACGAACGCTGCTGGCACCCGCCCACCCGACTAGAATCACTACTCTCGACGGGTCTGACCTAGAGTATGTGGACAACTACAAATACCTAGGTGTCTGGTTGGACTGTAAACTCTCCTTCCAGACTCACATTAAGCATCTCCAATCCAAAGTTAAATCTAGAATCGGCTTCCTATTTCGCAACAAAGCCTCCTTCACTCATGCTGCCAAACATGCCCTCGTAAAACTGACTATCCTACCGATCCTACTTCGGCGATGTCATTTACAAAATAGCCTCCAACACTCTACTCAGCAAATTGGATGTAGTCTATCACAGTGCCATCTGTTTTGTCACCAATGCCCCATACACTACCCACCATTGTGATCTGTACGCTCTTGTTGGCTGGTCCTCACTACATATTCGTCGCCAAACCCACTGGCTCCAGGCCATCTATAAATCACTGCTAGGCAAATCTCCGCCTTATCTTAGCTCATTGGTCACCATAGCAACACCCACCCGTAGTATGCGCTCCAGCAGGTATATCTCACTGGTCATCCCCAAAGCCAACACCTCCTTTGGCCGCCATTCCTTCCAGTTCTCTGCTGCCAATGACTGGAACGAATTGCAAAAATCTCTGAAGCTGGAGACTCTTATCTCCCTCACTAACTTTGAGCATCAGTTGTCAGAGCAGCTTACCGATCACTGCACCTGTACACAGCCCATCTGTAATTAGCCCACCCAACTACCTCATCCCCATATTGTTATTTATTTTGCTCATTTGCACCCCAGTATCTCTATTTGCACATCATCTCTTGCACATCTATCATTCCAGTGATAATACTAATAGTAATTATTTTGCACTATGGCCTATTTATTGCCTTACCTCCATAACTTGCTACATTTGCACACACTGTATATATATTTTCTGTGGTATTTTTGACTTTGTTTTTTTTTACCCCATATGTAACTCTGTGTTGTTGTTTTTATCGCACTGCTTTGCTTTATCTTGGCCAGGTCGCAGTTGTAAACGAGAACTTGTTCTCAACTGGCTTACCTGGTTAAATAAAGGTAAAATAAAAAAATAAAAAAGTTACTAATCCATTCTCCTTCATTCACTCTCCCGCCCTCCTATACATATTCACACCAAAACGTACAGCCTACACTCACATCCACACACACATCCATAGAACAGTTATTAACTATATACAGTGGGGAGAACAAGTATTTGATACACTGCCGATTTTGCAGGTTTTCCTACTTACAAAGCATGTAGAGGTCTATAATTTTTATCATAGGTACACTTCAACTGTGAGAGACTGAATCTAAAACAAAACTCCAGAAAATCACATTGTATGATTTTTAAGTAATTCATTTGCATTTTATTGCATGACATAAGTATTTGATACATCAGAAAAGCAGAACTTAATATTTGGTACAGAAACCTTTGTTTGCAATTACATAGATCATACGTTTCCTGTAGGTCTTGACCAGGTTTGCACACACTGCAGCAGGGATTTTGGCCCACTCCTCCATACAGACCTTCTCCAGATCCTTCAGGTTTCGGGGCTGTCGCTGGGCAATACGGACTTTCAGCTCCCTCCAAAGATTTTCTATTGGGTTCAGGTCTGGAGACTGGCTAGGCCACTCCAGGACCTTGTGATGCTTCTTACGGAGCCACTCCTTAGTTGCCCTGGCTGTGTGTTTCGGGTCGTTGTCATGCTGGAAGACTCAGCCACGACCCATCTTCAATGCTCTTACTGAGGGAAGGAGGTTGTTGGCCAAGATCTCGCGATACATGGCCCCATCCATCCTCCCCTCAATACGGTGCAGTCGTCCTGTCCCCTTTGCAGAAAAGCATCCCCAAAGAATGATGTTTCCACCTCCATGCTTCACGGTTGGGATGGAGTTCTTGGGGTTGTATTCATCCTTCTTATTCCTCCAAACACGGCGAGTGGAGTTTAGACTAAAAAGCTCTATTTTTGTCTCATCAGACCACATGACCTTCTCCCATTCCTCCTCTGGATCATCCAGATGGTCATTGGCAAACTTCAGACGGGCCTGGACATGCGCTGGCTTGAGCAGGGGGACCTTGCGTGCGCTGCAGGATTTTAATCCATGACGGCGTAGTGTGTTACTAATGGTTTTCTTTGAGACTGTGGTCCCAGCTCTCTTCAGGTCATTGACCAGGTCCTGCCGTGTAGTTCTGGGCTGATCCCTCACCTTCCTCATGATCATTGATGCCCCACGAGGTGAGATCTTGCATGGAGCCCCAGACCGAGGGTGATTGACCTTCATCTTGAACTTCTTCAATTTTCTAATAATTGCGCCAACAGTTGTTGCCTTCTCACCAAGCTGCTTGCCTATTGTCCTGTAGCCCATCGGAGCCTTGTGCAGGACTACAATTTTATCCCTTACACAGCTCTCTGGTCTTGGCCATTGTGGAGAGGTTGGAGTCTGTTTGATTGAGTGTGTGGACAGGTGTCTTTTATACAGGTAACGAGTTCAAAGAGGTGCAGTTAATACAGGTAATGAGTGGAGAACAGGAGGGCTTCTTAAAGAAAAACTAACAGGTCTGTGAGAGCCGGAATTCTTACTGGTTGGTAGGTGATCAAATACTTATGTCATGCAATAAAATGCAAATTAATTACTTAAAAATGTGATTTTCTGGATCTTTGTTTTAGATTCCGTCTCTCACAGATGAAGTGTACCTATGATAAAAATCACAGACCTCTACATGCTTTGTAAGTAGGAAAACCTGCAAAATCAGCAGTGTATCAAATACTTGTTCTACCCACTGTATATTATATACTATATTTCCCCCTTTGTACTATTTTATCAGTGTCATCATGTTGGCATCGGCTACTTCTATCATTACTTCCTATCGGTACACGCCTCATGCGTCCTATCGGAACACGCCTCATGGTCCTATCGGAACACGCCTCATGGTCCTATCGGTACACGCCTCATGGTCCTATCGGTACACGCCTCATGGTCCTATCGGAACACGCCTCATGGTCCTATCGGTACACGCCTCATGGTCCTATCGGTACACGCCTCATGGTCCTATCGGAACACGCCTCATGGTCCTATCGGAACACGCCTCATGGTCCTATCGGTACACGCCTCATGAACATTGTACTGTACCCTCCTCTGCTCCCAGGCTGGTGTGGCCCTGCTGGTCATCCAAAATGTTGTCGTCTCTGTATAATGTTGTCTTGTGTTAGGTGAGGTTCTGTAGTCGTGTTGTGTTCTAGGTGAGGTTCTGTAGTCGTGTTGTGTTAGGTGAGGTTCTGTAGTCATGTGGTGTTAGGTGAGGTTCTGTAGTCGTGTTGTGTTAGGTGAGGTTCTGTAGTTGTGTTGTGTTAGGTGAGGTTCTGTAGTCATGTTGTGTTAGCTGAGGTTCTGTAGTCGTGTTGTGTTAGGTGAGGTTCTGTAGTTGTGTTGTGTTAGGTGAGGTTCTGTAGTTGTGTTGTGTTAGCTGAGGTTCTGTAGTCGTGTTGTGTTAGCTGAGGTTCTGTAGTTGTGTTGTGTTAGGTGAGGTTATGTAGTTGTGTTGTGTTAGCTGAGGTTCTGTAGTCATGTTGTGTTAGCTGAGGTTCTGTAGTTGTGTCGTGTTAGGTGAGGTTCTGCAGTCATGTCGTGTTAGGTGAGGTTCAGTAGTTGTGTTGTGTTCTAGGTGAGGTTCTGTAGTCGTGTTGTGTTCTAGGTGAGGTTCTGTAGTCGTGTTGTGTTCTAGGTGAGGTTCTGTAGTCGTGTTGTGTTCTAGGTGAGGTTCTGTAGTCGTGTTGTGTTCTAGGTGAGGATCTGTAGTTGTATTGTGTTCTAGGTGAGGTTCTGTAGTTGTGTTAGGTGAGGTTCTGTAGTTGTGTTAGGTGTGGTTCTGTAGTCGTGTTGTGTTCTAAGTGAGGTTCTGTGGTCGTGTTGTGTTCTAGGTGAGGTTCTGTAGTCGTGTTGTGTTCTAGGTGAGGTTCTGTAGTCGTGTTGTGTTCTAGGTGAGGTTCTGTAGTCGTGTTGTGTTCTAGGTGAGGTTCTGTAGTCGTGTTGTGTTAGGTGAGGTTCTGTAGTCGTGTTGTGTTAGGTGAGGTTCTGTAGTCGTGTTGTGTTAGGTGAGGTTCTGTAGTCGTGTTGTGTTAGGTGAGGTTCTGTAGTCGTGTTGTGTTAGGTGAGGTTCTGTAGTCGTGTTGGTAGGTTTGTAGGTGAGGTCGTGTTAGGTGAGGTGAGGTTCTGTAGTCGTGTTGTGTTAGGTGAGGTCGTAGTCGTGTTGTGTTAGTGAGGTTCTGTAGTCGTGTTGTGTTAGGTGAGGTTCTGTAGTCGTGTTGTGTTCTAGGTGAGGTTCTGTAGTCGTGTTGTGTTAGGTGAGGTTCTGTAGTCGTGTTGTGTTCTAGGTGAGGTTCTGTAGTCGTGTTGTGTTAGGTGAGGTTCTGTAGTCGTGTTGTGTTCTAGGTGAGGTTCTGTAGTCGTGTTGTGTTTAGGTGAGGTTCTGTAGTCGTGTTGTGTTCTAGGTGAGGTTCTGTAGTCGTGTTGTGTTAGGTGAGGTTCTGTAGTCGTGTTGTGTTTAGGTGAGGTTTGTGTCGTGTTGGTGTTTAGGTGAGGTTCTGTAGTCGTGTTGTGTTCTAGGTGAGGTTCTGTAGTCGTGTTGTGTTAGGTGAGGTTCTGTAGTCGTGTTGTGTTAGGTGAGGTTCTGTAGTCGTGTTGTGTTAGCTGAGGTTCTGTAGTTGTGTTGTGTTAGCTGAGGTTCTGTAGTCGTTATGTTAGGTGAGGTTCTGTAGTCGTGTTGTGTTCTAGGTGAGGTTCTGTAGTCGTTGTGTTCTAGGTGAGGTTCTGTAGTCGTGTTGTGTTAGGTGAGGTTCTGTAGTCGTGTTGTGTTCTAGGTGAGGTTCTGTAGTCGTGTTGTGTTAGGTGAGGTTGGGTTGTCTTGTGCTCTCTGTATAATGAATCAATCCGTTTCTACTGTATTGTAGCTGACCTGAAGTATAGGCTGGAGGACACCAGGACGTTCCTGTGGCAGGGGATCTCTGTGTTGTCTGAACAGAGCAGCACGTCAGTTAGGATCCTCTCCTGTCTCAGGCTGTTGAGCTGGGATAGCAGGAGGGAAGACAGCTCTGGGTCTCTAAATGGGAACACCTCAAGGGTCTTCAAGGACGCACAGAGAGCCATTCTGTTGGAGGGGGGAAGGAAACATGGGGAGGGAGGGGGAGAGATGGTGGGGGGAGGAGTTAAGGGGGTGGGAGGGAAGGGGGTGGGGGAGAGGGGAGGGAGGAGGGAGAGAGAGAGAGAGAGAGAGAGAGGAGGGGAGAGAGGGGAGGGTGGGGGGAGGAGGGAAGGGGGTGGGAGTGAGGGGAGGGAGGAGGGAGAGAGAGAGAGAATAACTGTATTGAATGGTTTTATGAGCATCTTACCAGGGTTGGGGTCAATTCCTTTTCAAGATAAGTCAGATCAGAAAATGAATAAATTGAAATAATGAATAGAAACATTGAGTTTCATTCTAAAATGCTGTACAGTGCCTTCAGAAAGTATTCATATCCCTCGACTTATTCCACATTTTGTTGTGTTTCAGCCTGAATTCAAAATAGATTAAATATATTTATTTTCTCACCCATCTGCAGACAACACCCCATAATGATAAAGTGAAAACACGTTTTTAGAAAAAGTTTGCAAATGTATTGAAAATTCACACCCCTGAGTCAATACTTTGTAGAAGCACCTTTGGCAGCGATTACAGCTGTGAATCTTCCTGGGTAAGTCTCTAAGAGCTTTGCACACCTGGATTGTACAATATTTGCCCATTATTATTTTTTAAATTATTCAAGCTCTGTCAAGTTGGTTGTTAATCAGTGCTAGACAGCCATTTTCATGTCTTGCCATAGATGTTTCAAGCCAATTTAAGTCAAAACTATAACTAGGCCAGTCAGGAACATTCAATGTTGTCTTAGTAACCAACTCCAGTGTAGATTTGGCCTTGTGTTTTAGGTTATTGTCCTGCTGAAAGGTGAATTAATCTCCCAGTGTCTGGTGGAAAGCAGACTGAATCAGGTTTTCCTCTAGGATTTTGCCTGTGCTTAGCTCTATTCCATCAATTTTTTATCCTAAAGAAAATCCCCAGTCCTTGCCGATAACAAACATACCATAACATGCAGCCACCGCCATGCTTGAAAATATTTGAAGCGTGGTACTCAGTGATGTGTTGTGTTGGATTTGCCCCAAACATTACACTTTGTATTCAGGACATAAAGTTAATTTATTTGCCACATTTTTGGAGCCTTACTTTAGTGCCTTGTTGCAAACAGGATGCAGTATTACTTTAGTGCCTTGTTGCAAACAGGATGCAGTATTACTTTAGTGCCTTGTTGCAAACAGGATGCAGTATTACTTTAGTGCCTTGTTGCAAACAGGATGCAGTATTACTTTAGTGCCTTGTTGCAAACAGGATGCAGTATTACTTTAGTGCCTTGTTGCAAACAGCATGCAGTATTACTTTAGTGCCTTGTTGCAAACAGGATGCAGTATTACTTTAGTGCCTTGTTGCAAACAGGATGCATGTTTTTGAATATTTGTATTCTGTACGGGCTTCCTTCTTTTCACTCTGTCCTTTAGGTTCGTATTGTGGAGTAACTACAATGTTGTTGATCCATCCTCAGGTTTCTCCTATCACAGCCATTTAACTCTGTAACTGTTTTAAAGCCACCATTTCCCTCATGGTGAAATACCTGAGCGGTTGTATTTATACACCATCCAAAGCGTAATTAATAACTTCACCATCCTCAAAAGGATATTAATATGAATGATCAATAATGATAATAATCAATGTCTGCTTCTTATTTTATATTTAAATACATTTTGTTGCATTGGAAAACCTCCCTGGTCGTTACGGTTGAATCTGTGTTTGGAATTTGCTGCTAGACTGAGGGATCTTACAGATACTGTAATTGTACAGTGCATTCAGAAAGTATTCAGACCCCTTCACTTTTTCAACATTTTGTTATGTTAGTCTTATTCTAAAATTGATTAAATAAAAAATGTTCCTCATCAATCTACACACAATACCCCATAATGACGAAACGAAATTAGTGCAAATCTATTCAAAATGTTTAACAGAAATACCTTATTGACATAAGTATTCAGACCTTTTGCTATGAGACTCGAAATTGAGCTCAGCTGCATCCTGTTTCCATTGATCATCCTTGAGATGTTTCTACAACTTAATTGGAGTCCACCTGTGGTAAATTCAATTGATTGGACATGATTTGGAAAGGCACACATCTGTATATATGAGGTCCCAGAGTTGACAGTGCATGTCAGAGCAAAAACCAAGCTATCAGGTCGAAGGAATTGTCCGTAGAGCTCCGAGACAGGATTGTGTCAAGGCACAGATCTGGGGAAGGGTACCAAAAAATGTCTGCAGAATTGAAGGTCCCCAAGAACACAGTGGCTTCCATCATTCTTAAATGGAAGAAGCTTGGAAACACCAAGACTCTTCCTAGAGCTGGCCGCCCGGCCAAACTGAGCAATCGGGGGAGAAGGGCCTTGGTCAGGGAGGTGACCAAGAACCCGATGGTCACTCTGACAGAGCTCCAGAGTTCCTCTGTGGAGATGGGAGAATCTTCCAGAAGGACAACCATCTTTGCAGCACTCTACCAATCAGGCCTTTATGGTAGAGTGGCCAGACGGAAGCCACTCCTCAGTAAAAGGCACATGACAGCCCGCTTGGAGTTTGCCAAAAGGCACCTAAAGACTCAGACCATGAGAAACAAGATTGAACTCTTTGGCCTGAATGCCAAGCATCACGTCTGGAGGAAACCTGGCACCATCTCTATGGTGAAGCATGGTGGTGGCAGCATCATGCTGTGGGGATGTTTTTCAGCGCAAGGGACTGGGAGACCAGTCAGGATCGAGGCAAAGTTTAACGGAGCAAAGTACAGAGAGATCCTTGATGAAAATACCTAATTTCTACCAGCATGTTAAATGTGCAACCAGAGGAAAAAAAAACTCTAGACCACCTTCACTCCACACACAGAGACGCATACAAAGCTCTCCCTCGCCCTCCATTTGGCAAATCTGACCATAACTCTATCCTCCTGATTCCTGCTTATAAGCAAAAACTAAAGCAAGAAGCACCAGTGAATCGGTTAATAAAAAAAGTGGTCAGATGACGCAGATGCTAAGCTACAGGACTGTTTTGCTAGCACAGACTGGAACATGTTCCGGGATTCTTCAGACAGCATTGAGGAGTACACCACATCAGTCACTGGCTTCATCAATAAGTGCATCGATGATGTCGTCCCCACAGTGACCGTACGTACATACCCCAACCAGAAGCCATGGATTACAAGAAACATCCGCACTGAGCTAAAGGGTAGAGCTGCCGCTTTCAAGGAGCGGGACTCTAACCCGGACGCTTATAAGAAATCCCGCTATGCCCTCCGACGAACCATCAAACAGGCAAAGAGTCAATACAGGACTAAGATTGAATCGTACTACACTGGCTCTGACGCTCGTTGGATGTGGCAGGGCTTGAAAACTATTACAGACTACAAAGGGAAGCACAGCCGCGAGCTGCCCAGTGACACAAGCCTACCAGACGAGCTAAACCACTTCTATGCTCGCTTCGAGGCAAGCAACACTGAAGCATGCATGAGAGCACCAGCTGTTCCGGATGACTATGTGATCACGCTCTCCGTAGCCGATGTGAGTAAGACTTTTAAGCAGGTCAACATTCACAAGGCCGCAGGGCCAGACGGATTACCAGGACGTGTACTCCGAGCATGTGCTGACCAACTGGCAAGTGTCTTCACTGACATTTTCAACATGTCCCTGACTGAGTCTGTAATACCAACATGTTTCAAGCAGACCACCATAGTCCCCATGCCCAAGGACTCTAAGATAACCTGCCTAAATGACTACCGACCCATAGCACTCACGTCTGTAGCCATGAAGTGCTTTGAAAGGCTGGTCATGGCTCACATCAACACCATTATCCCAGAAACCCTAGACCCACTCCAATTTGCATACCGCCCCAACAGATCCACAGATGATGCAATCTCTATTGCACTCCACACTGCCCTGTCCCACCTGGACAAGAGGAACACCTACGTGAGAATGCTATTCATTGACCACAGTTCAGCATTCAACACCATAGTGCCCTATAAGCTCATCACTAAGCTAAGGATCCTGGGACTAAACACCTCCCTCTGCAACTGGATCCTGGACTTCCTGACGGGCCGCCCCCAGGTGGTAAGGGTAGGTAACAACCCATCTGCCACACTGATCCTCAACACGGGGGCCCCTCAGGGGTGCGTGCTCAGTCCCCTCCTGTACTCTCTGTTCACCCATGACTGCATGGCCAGGCACGACTCCAACACCATCATTAAGTTTGCCGACGACACAACAGTGGTAGGCCTGATCACCGACAACGATGAGACAGCCTATAGGGAGGAGGTCAGAGACCTGGCCGTGTGGTGCCAGGACAACAACCTCTCCCTCAACGTGACCAAGACAAAGGAGAGGTGGAAAAAAGAATGGGGGGGGGGAAATATACTTATCCCATGGGCAAAGAAATGAAAAAGGGGTGATGATATTAATTAATAGTAATTTCGATCCGAATGTGCAAATTGTCCAAATAGATACGCAAGGTAGATGGATTATTTTAAATATGGTATTGGACCATAAACAGATATGGCTCATTAACCTTTACGGACCAAATAATGATGATCCACAATTCTTTGACAATATATATGATAAATTATCAAGCCTGCAAGCAACTCAAGACAATATTATTATGGTGGGGGATTATAATACTGTTTTAAATAGCTCAATGGACCGAAAAGGAAATCACACCACAAACAATCACCCACATGCCCTTAAGGAAATTGTGAATGTCATGGATACATTAGAACTAGTAGATATATGGAGGCTTAAATATGCTGATCTAGTGAGATATACATGGCGGAGACTGAATCAAGCTAGTCGTCTTGACTTCTTTCTTATCTCATTCTCGTTGGCACCAAAAGTAAAAAAAGTGTTGATAGGGGACAGAATCCGGTCGGACCATCATATAATAGGCATATACATTACTCTGACTGAATTTCCACGTGGGCGAGGATATTGGAAATTTAATCAAAGCCTATTAGATGATAATTTATTTATAATTAGAACAAAGGA